TAAGAGAGAGAGAGAGAGAGAGACAAATTCTTATGAAGAGGATAAGAGAGAGAGAGACAAATTCTTATGAAGAGGATAAGAGAGAGAGAGAGAGACAAATTCTTATTCTCAGATGAACAGATATGCGTATGGAAAGTGAATTAGGCCTGAAAATTTATTGACGTATTTTTACTATAAAAATGTTTATACTTTCATAGTTTTTTGACCCCTGTCTGGGGGTTTAACTATTTGGCCATAGCTGGGACCCTAAAAAGTGCTACCACCCTAGGTCATGTTAGAACTGGGAACAATGACAATTAACAGGTGGTTCCATGCTCCTCAAAACCTCTTTATTAGAGGCCTTGCTGCCGGGTTGTAGTTTATCATCATAACCAGGACAGCTGCGAAATAGTACTTAATCATTTATTTTAAAAAAATTTTCTATAAAATTATCAATTACGTGATCCTGATTACAAATTTAAAAAAAAAATTTTCTTTTAAGTTTTAAGAAATCCCAATGTTATCATCATATTTTTGAGGTCTTTTGTCGAGGGGATCAATTCACAATAAATTTACATAGCAAACAAGACAACGTTATTAACTCTTATATAATTTAATAAAAAGATATTTTTTGAGATTCATGGTCTGCAATTTTTAATCTATATCAGTGGTTCCTAAATGGTACATTGTACCTCAAAGGTGTAGCAGAAGACAATAACTGATCAGATGAAATGATTGAAAGACACTCAAAGATTTAGAAAGAATTTTAAAAGATTCATATGTCAAAAATAAATATGATTTTAAACTTTTAAATATTATTATGGATTACTTATAATTGCATGCATATAACACCTTTCATCGTCGCCACTTATACTCAGTCCTCAGGGGCATTGAATGACCGTTTAACAATGGGGCTTACTCTGCACTGTTCAATGCTGATGCTGGTCCAAACTGGATGCTGGTCACTGCCAGCTTTGATCCACACAAGGTATTTTTTTTTTATAATTATATTTTTTATGTAAAAAAAAAAGTTCTAAAAGACTAGAATTATAAAACTGCCTGAAAGTTGGTAAGTGATGATCAGTCAGTTAAGTGCCATATATGATCCACAATTGGGCGATCATGTCTCTTGATGCATGACTGACTAGGCAAAAGATTTTATTGCAGTAGGTTGCCTTTTCTTTCTGCAATAGATTGGTGGCCAATCAAGCCTATAGGACTCTCCTGTTATTCAACCCATAGTTGGAAGAGTAGTGATGGATTCATGCCTTTCCCAAGGGTATTTGCATGTAAGTAATTGTAATGATTCCAACTGGAATTCAAACTTGACTCAAAGACTTCTCTTTCTGAGCTGTTATCCATGACAAACATCAATATAGCAACTAGGTTCCGCAAATTGGAGGAGAGAGTTATCAATGATAATGTTCTGACTTCAAATCCTCAGTTATCTCGCTATAACTCTCTGTCTGGACCTTCTTCGCCATAGAGCTGCTTGCACCTTTTCACCGGGACTTCCTTTTGGTGAGGTGCGAACAAATTTTACATTTGAAAAATTGTGACCCAGAGAAAAAGATTTTTGGAACCACTGATCTATAATAATATGAAAATGTTTTTTAAAAGAAATTGCTATTTCTGCTGACAGTGCCAATTCTAAAACTTCATCAAAATGGTTTGCCATACAGACATAAACATAAAATAAGTCATAAAAACCAAAACAGAAAAGCAAAGTCGTCCATTTTAAATGCCTTGTATTCTTTCCTTGATGCTAACTTTTATTTTCTTTTAATGGAAAGCATGAAAGAGAAAATATCAATAAAAACGATACCTAATTGAGTTACCTAGTAATCCTGAGAAAAATCTAAGAAAAAAAAAATATTTTCCCTATTATGAAAAGAAAATCCTCAGCTGAATGAAATAAAAATTATTTATGTGACCAAGTTTTTTTAAAAATGTTTTTAAAGAATTTGGTGAATAATGGGAGTGTATGTACATATAGACGTAATGGAAGAAGTGGGTTACCTAACCACTCAGAACTTTTCAGCACCCATGTGTTTGTAAGTGATGATGGACACTCCTGTCAATTACAGAAAATGTGGGCACATCAGTCCAGAATCTAACCACTGAACTACCCACACCTACGATTTATGCGATTAAGGCTTGTGCAAAACCAGTGACACTGATAAAAAAGAAATATACAGTGTATCAAGTTTAAATTAAGAGATTTCTTTTCCTTTACTGACTAACAGCCATGGCTAAGTTCATGGCCATATCAGGCTGAAACACTGGGTTTTGTCTGATCACCAAACTTAAGCAACACTAGCCTGGTCACTGCCTAGATAAGTGACAATTCGAGAATACCAATGTTATTGTAAGCTTGGATGTGTGGGTGGTGTAATGGATAAAAGTCTCAGAATGAGAAATCGGAAAACCAAGTCTGTATTCCATTCAGGTTCATTATATTCACTTATGTGCAAATACCCTTGGGAAAGATATGAATCCACCTTCTCTCCTCCCAGTTATGGGTTAAATAGTAAGGCTTGTAGTGGGCCGTGGCGGTTACGGTTTGTTGAGGGTTCATGGCGTGGCTGTTATGTTGTTGATAGAAGTCAGACGTAGAAGAAACGCAAGGTTCAGATACTCCTGCCCCTTGAGCCCAACTACATAAAAAAGGTTGGACTTTGATTAAGTCCAAAGAAGAAGGTAAAGAAAGCAAACAAAACAAGACCGATAATATATGTATATACAAATATATATTAATAACAAGTTACAATACATGGAAACAGTACAAAGGACGAAGTGTGTGTGAATATTCTGTGTGTGCGTGCGTGCGTGTGTGAATATGTGCTTAGCGTGTTTCTGCGCTATCCCTTGTTAGCGACTACATTTCGAGGTTGATAGCTGAAAATCCTCTAGGAATAAGAGAGTTTACCTCAAGGTGTCAGTGCACAGGCCTGAAAGGAAAAAGAGATAGAGGCGAAGGGTCATTGGCTATTTATAGCCAGGAAAGAGAGACCCCTGGTGAAAGGGTTAACGGAGTGAAAGGAGGAGTTAACTCCGACAGGCTTGTATTGGAAAAAATCATTATTATCTCCAAAGAAATAAAAATTCTAAACAATTTCAAACATGATATGGTGATTCTGCTTATTGCACCAATAACCCTGGTGCTACCCCCATAAAAAAAAAAAAAAAAAAAAAAAAAATCAACCTTACACCAATGAAAACTTCAAACGAGAAATATAATCAGTCAATTGCTGATAACTCCTGATGAGTGGATGAAGTGATTTCTGGAAGGTGTGTCTACGAAACTCTGGAGTTGGGATGTTGAAGGTAAGGGACAAATTTTATATTTGTATTAATTCTCTATATAATTTTATATATACTGAAAGGGTCATTCTTGTTGGTTGATTTTCTATAAACCTCAAACTGAAGCTTGTTATTTCTATGCAACATGATATGTAAGAAGGGTAAAGTGTTGATACACTCAGATTCAAAAGTTAAGATCTATTGTGGGTTCAACGTTAAGTCCTTTAACGAGATCAGGTAAAACTATGGCTTGTGGATATATAAGTAGAGAATCATCTATGTATCTAAAATAAGAAGAATTTTGTGGTAAAATATTTTTGAAATGACCAATTTCTAGAAATTCCAAAAACAGACAAGCCAAATGCAGCTAAAAGAAGACTTCATTGGTAAACCAAATTTTTACCTCCAAAAACTGTTATCAAAATAGACAAAAATTTATTTTATCGATGTGGTCTTCTCTTATTGGGATTTTGGCTTGTCTGCTTTTTGGAATTTCTAGAAAGTGTTACTTTCAAAAATATTAAGAAGTAGCAGCATGGCCCGGCGTTGCCCGTGCTTGATTAAAAAATCGTACGACTCATACGGCAATCGTTATCACTTTACTTAAAATATTTTTGCCCTTCCTTGCCTTTAAAGGAGTGCCCTTTGCCATGCTGATGTTGCTACATGCCTTACTTCTTGCTTATCTCACACTGTGAATTTTTCGAAGCTCTATACTAAACATTAAATCTGTTACGAAAAAAGAACTAAACAAAATGAACACAAAACGATCAGCATTAAAAAAGGACTTGTAACTGGAAAAACTGAATGAAAAAAAGAATGTTAACAACAAATACTTTTTCACACCCAACCCAGTTGAGTTTAAGCAAGCGAATGAGCCAATTGCAGTAAAGTGCCATGTAGATTTAAATTTTTCCCACTTGTGACAAATGCAGCTATCGATTTTTTTGCATGCTAGCATGCTAGTTAACATTTGTGTCAGTCAGCTGTTGGCTCTTACGCTGACCAATAGAATCTTCCTGCCTATTCGTGGTAGCCAGCTATAGGCTCTCACTCTGGCCAGTACAAAATGGCTGCAAACTACATGAATTCGTTACACACACACACATCCTGCCTTTCATAAATAGAGATTTGAGTGATTTAAAAAAAGAAAAGAAAAAAAAAATATTTTGAACTGGTTTTTGAAAAATCTGAAAAGAACAATAGATCTTGGGATGATCCAAAATAGATCTTGGGATAATCCAAAATAAACAAGCATCTATACTGAAAAACTGCTGTACATGAAACAGGCTTTAAATGATTGATTCATTTTCTACAATTTATCAACCCTTTGCAGGTTATTTAAAGCCAGTAAATTTTTTTAAAATTTAAGAATTTTTTAGGGGTAGATAATGATGGTTTAGTGATACAAGTCTTACTAATTAACCCATAGCTGGGGGGTTAGAAGAGTTGGATTCATACCTTACCCAAGGGTACTTGCGCATAAGTGAATATAACGAACCCAACAGGAATTGAACCTCAGATCTCTTAGTTAACAATTTCCAAGCCATTATCCATTACACCTTCAAAACATCCAAGCTTACAGCACCTGGTATTCTGAAGCAATCACCCATCTAGTTAATGACCAGGCTCAACATTGCTTAACTTCAGTGATCATACAGGGACCGGCCTTTCAATATGATGTGGTCGTAAGCCATTACACCTTCAACACATCCAAGCTTACAGCACCTGGTATTCCCAAACGGTCACCCATCTAGGTACTGACCAGGCTCAACATTGCTTAACTTTGGTGATCGTATGGGAACTGGCCTTTCAACATGATGTAGTAGTAAGCCATTACCCCTTCAACACATACAAGCTTACAGCACCTGGTATTCTGAAGCAGTCACCACCCATCCAGGTACTGACCAGATTCTATATTGCTTAACTACAATGATTATACAGGAGCCAGTACTTTAACGTGATGTTGTCGTAAGCCTCTCAAGATAGAGTGTTACTGAATGAGGTGTGTAATATGAATGTTAAGGTAGGGATTCAGAAATAAAGAGTAAGAGAATATGGCAGATAGTTAACGACTGTCCCTTGAGATGAAGATATTAACATTCGGGAAAGCATCCATTATGATTGAGGCATTCAGGGAAGCAGATAGGTAAATAAAATAAAAAAATATTTTTTAATATATACATATTTACTGATAGATTGAATTTTTCACATCTAATTTTGAATTTTAAACCATCACAAAATTTTTGACTGTTGTGACCAATATAATGCCAGAGAAACTAAAGCCAAATAAATTCTTGAAAATATAAATTTGTGAATTAATCTATGGAGCCAGTGTCATATAATCTAGCGTCTCATTAAAAACAGACATTTTCTCCATCTTACAAATACATTTCAGTCTCTTTGTTAATTAACAATAAAGAGGTCTACTAGTAAATATTTGTTCCTATGACTTCTGAATGTCCCATGTACAGTAAAACTACCTCATGGGAAATAATTAATACTGATCTACAAATAGTCACACCTAACTATTTAACAGACATAACCTATCAATTATCGTGTCACATTTGCAAAAATAAAGAGAAAATTAAAACCTATAATGAGATAGAAACAAAGAATTATATTATAAATTAGAAATAACAAAGTTTTCTACACCAGCAACTAAGATCAGTTTGATTTGCCAATTTACAGCCTGTTTCATGCACGACAATATTTTTAAATTGGATGCATGTTCGTTATTGTTGTTTAAAGCAATGGATCCCAACATGCAGGAATTTGAAATGAAATGTGAAAATGGTTAACAAGTGATTAAGTTAAATTTCTCGGATAACAAATAATTATTATTTACAGGATTTACGTTCTAACTAACGTCATCATCTATGTTGTTATCCTCACAATCTTTCAGATGTCTCTCAATCTGGGTAACCTTCAGAGAACTGCAAACTGAACCCTCAATTTAATCCGTACCCATTCTGCTGTCTACGTCTAGGGATATTGCTTTTTGATATTCATTTTTTAATATTGCTCAGTTATTGGTGCCGTTTAGTTTGGGTTTTTTTTCACAACGATGTTCAATATGTACAAAGCCTGGGAGCCACTCAAGGTAGAGTAAGAGTACAAAGTAAGAAACGATTTATGGGGATATGCGGGGAAGATAATGGTTGACCCTAGACTTGAACAGGTTAAGATTGTAGTGATCAGGGAAGCATCCTTTTGGGAGGCGGTTCCACAAAGTAGCTACTAGAGTTGAACTTGCATCTCATCATTGGAATACAAAGGAATGAAGGTGATCCGCTATAGTGGCATAGTAGGTCATAGCTATGAAGGTTAGAAATGATACAACTAATGAATGTAGTTTGTCTGAACACTTTCAATGGAAAAAATGACAGAGTAGCAAAAGACGTGATGTCATGTCTGTAAGAAAGGGATTGCATGGCGAAAAATAATTCATCACCCACAAGGACGTGGCTTGCCACTGAGTTCAAGTCTAAATAAACTGGTACAAGGATTGAACAATAGCCTAGTGGATTAAACCACCACTGCTTCGTGGCATAGTACTCAGGAGTTCAATCTCTTGGCTGGGCACTACAGACTTCAACAGTGAAAACAGGGCAAGCAACAACTGAGCAGTTCTAAAAACAAAAGAAGAAATGAGTTCTCCTTATACATGGACAACACAAGAACAATCGGCTATCATAGATTTAATAATTGATTGATAATTTGTTTTTTATGGCTTATCAAACATTTGTCGGTTACTTCAAGCTAAAACAGAATGTAGGGGGTTGCATACAGTATCAAGTCTTCCCAACCCATAACCCATCTCAATATAAACCCAGCTTAATGTTGCTTAACTTCAAACAAGAACCGATGTTTTCAGCGTGATTTTACTGCAGACATTAACAAGGATAGAGCTTATATTGAAAGAATAAATATTTGTTGTATAAAATCTTTTTATAATATTAGGCTAAGAATTTGTGAACAAAATACAGTTACAATTAAAGGAAATATATATATATATATATATATATATATATATATATATATTATACTACTAATAATACTCGGTTGGAAAAAACCTCGGAAAATAAAAAGAAAGAACTAGAAACATCCAAATAGGGTGAAATAAATTGTACAACGCCTTAAGTTTTTAGTCCAAAGAAAAAACCCCAAGCAAGTAAATTAATAATACAACATGGTAATCCGTATGGAAATTCCAGGTGGATATAGATCCAGGAAGGCCTCTATGTCAAAATGTGTTCTTCCAGCCGCCAAATTAAAGATAGATAGAAGAATAAACAAAATAGCTGAACAACAAGCTTTCATGACGGCAAAGGACCACAAAACCAGCTTCGTAGAAAAAACACACATTCAGACTAATTAAAACGGTGAAGAGTGGGATAGGAAAAATCAGTAAAAACATACTGGAAACTATCAACACCAGCCTAAGGGAAAAATTAGGTCTCAACCAATTCGACATAGTGGATTTCTATACATCTATCATGGAAAACATATTTAATGAAGCTATACAACTGGCACAGCAACATGTAAAAATCACGGACGGAGATATAAAAATAATCAAACATTGCCACAAATCTCTGCTGTCCCACAATAGTGAACCATAGGCAAAGAAACAAAACCACGACCTGTTTGATGTAACAATGGGTAGCTACGATGGAGCAGATATACAAATTATTAGGCATACTCAACTTCTCAAACCTGGCCAGAATCCTGGAGAGAAAGGACATGGGATTATACAGAGATGATCGACTTAGCTTGATAAGAGAACCTAATGGCCCCAAATTAGACAAATTTAGGAAGAAAATAGTGAACGCCCTAAAAAACATTGGATTCAAAATAGAGATAAATGCAGGCACAACAACAGTAAACTTCCTTGACGTCACTCTTAACCTGAACAACAACTCAGAGATAATGACACCCCAAGTTACGGACACACATCCTCCAACTACCCACATTCAATCATCAAACAAATACCCATATCAATCAGCCGCAGACTATGTAAGAACTCATCTAACATACACATTTTCAATAACAAAAAAAACATCATACAACAAAGCACTAAAAGCAAGTGGATACACACAACAACTACAATATACACCTCCAAAGCCAAAATGCAAAAACTGAAAAAGAAATATTATTTGGTTTAATCCACCATATAACAAAACCATCAAAACAAACAAAGGTAAGACATTCCTAAACTTAATAGAAAACCACTCCACTGAAACAAACTGATTAGCAAAAATATCCAACAAAAATAACGTTAAAATCAGTTACAGCTGCACAAAAAATATGACAAAAATAATAAAAAGCCACAACAAAAAAATTAACAACCTACAAAAATGAAACCAAGGATCCAAAATGCAACTGCAGAAATAGAACATGTCCACTCCAGAGAAATTGCCAACATACAAATACAATATATAAATGCAAGGTAAATGCAAACAACAGCACAATGTACTACATCGGTGCCACTGAGGATCCATTCAAGAAGAGGAAAAACAACCACAACCTTTCATTCAACAACAGAAAATACTCGAACAGCACTACACTATCCACATATATACGACAGCTAAAAGGCAGAAATATCACACCAAGAATAAGCTGGAAAATATTGAAAAAAGTACCTGCCAACTGTAACATTACAAAAAACATACCTACTTTGCCTACACAAAAAAGTAGCAACAATATCCTATACCCTGCAAAAGAATTTATTAAACAAAAGATCAGAGATAATTTCCAAATGTGGGCATGAGAATAAATACCTATTATCAGAATTTATACCAAACGAATAAAAAACAAAAAAATAATTACATTTATTGTTATTAACATTCCACCAACATTATTAATCGCTTCTACCACTTAACAATAACTATTAGCTACTAATATTATCATTACCACCAATCCCCTAACACCATTGCTATCACATCACATATACTATTACCATATCAATCCACCATAATTATTAATGTAAATTACTCTCCCCTCCCCCACATATTTAATACCACCAAATAAAAATAAGGATTACAAACTGCAATTTCTACCAGTTACATATACGCAGTCATCAAAAACAAGCAAATAACCGGCTTTAAAATAATAACAAATCAGCTTTAAAAGATTAAAAATAATAGCAATTTTTACCTATCATAATTTTACACAGACCCCACCACACGTATATACGTGAATGCGAGGAAATATTATTCAGCAAAAGAATAGAAAAATGGTCTGATTGTTGACATGGATACATTCACAAGACATTCACCAGAAATATTCAACACATCCCATCTTTAAATTTCAGCAACCAAATGTGTATGTATGTAAACAACAGCACACATATACATACATGTCATGTCCCATACTGTCCACATATGTTTATGTTTGTATGATCCCCGGCGGGCGAGCGCATGTGTATGTGTGTCTGCGTACTTCAATGGGTGTACGGAAATGCATCTATCTTTGTGTTAGCATGAGTAACATCACAACGACGATTTCCCCCCAATTCCATAATAACACTAATACACACAATCTACATAAATCTCAAATTTTAAAAAAATTAATCAGTTTGTCTAACAATCCCAAAAGCATGAAACCCAGGGTCACAAACTCACATCAATCCAACCAAATGTGTTAGCTCTATCTCTGATATTGAGCACTTTCTAATAAGTACCGTGCATATAATATACAAATGATAATATATATATTACACATATATTTATATTTACATACACACACTTTTCATATATATATATATATATATATATATATATATATATATATATATACACTCTGTAGTGTAAAAA